AGTCACAGAGACATTAGAAAGAATTTTTTTTAGTGTCAGAGTAGTTAATAAATGGAATGCACTAGGAAGTGATATGGTGGAGGCTGACTCCATACACAGTTTCAAGTGTAGACATGATAGAGCCCTGTAGGCTAGGGAATATGTACACCAGTTGATTGACATTTGAGAGGCGGGACCAAAGAGACAAAGCTCAACCCCCGCAAGTACAAATACGTGAGTACACACACACACACACACACACACACACACACACACACACACACACACACACACACACACACACACACACACATACACAGTGCATTAGGAAGTGATGTGTTGGAGGCTGACTCCATCCACAGTTTCAAGTGTAGATATGATAGAGTCCGATAGGCTCAGGAATCTGTACACCTGTTGATTGACGGTTGAGAGGCGGGACCAAAGAGCCAGAGCTCAACCCCCGCAAACACAACTAGGTGAGTACAACTAGGTGAGTACACACACACACACCCTCCTGCCCATTGGATTGAAGAATTGGAATAGGAAACGAACATGGCAGGAGGAATATGTAACACAAGGGAGGAGAAGGACAAGATGACTCGTTTCGAGAGGTACTCTTTCAAATGTGGAGAGAAATCAGGGAGGAGCTAAAAGTAATGGAGGAAAAGGTAGCCAACCTGCAGGATGAGCTGAATGAGGCAAAGGAGGAGATTAGAAGCCTGAAAGAGAATCCTCCCCAATACCAGACACGAACCAGCCCTCAGGAGGATTGTAGTGTGTCTACGGACAGGACTTCTACAATACAACCCTCATTTGCAGACATACCTAGAAGGAACCCGGAAACTGTCTGTGCAGTATAGGAAATTGCCATGAAAGTTGCTATTTCTCAGGAAGCAGCAAGATGCACTAGCCGACTGAAAGAGAGGAAAAGAGCAGTAATCGTAGTAGGTATTAAGGAGCAAGTAGAGGCCAGTCCAGGGAAGAGGAGAGATACGGACAGAGCTACAGTTAAAGAGATCATTGAAAGGGTACAGATAGTGAAGGAAGAACAGAAAAAAGAAAGGATTTTAGGCTTGGCCAGTACAGCAAGGACAGAACTCGATTGATAAAAGTGGTTTTCAAAAGCAAGGACACAAAGGAAGAAATTTTAGCAATGAAGAGCAGCCTATTCAATGTACTGAAGTTCATAAAGGTATTCCTGCCGAGGGATATGAGCAGGGAGGAGGGATTGAGGGCAGCCGCAGCGAAGAAGGAGCACAATTAGAGAGAGAGGAATCAGAGGAACCACAGCCCAGAACCCTACGATCCCAGAGGGGAGTGAGGAACCCTCCACAAGCAGTTCGACAGCCCCAGTGGGAGGAAGATCACACCCACCTCCCACCCAATAGAAGCCCTACCTGCCCCAGCCCTACGAGCCCCCTACTAAGTGGCCATCTGGACCACTCTCCTCCCACACCCCCCTCTCCTCAAGACCTACCTTCTCCACCACCCCCTTCTCCCCCAAGCCCTCTCTTCTTTCCCACCCCCAAGCCCCCCCCCCCCCCTTCTCCCCATCACTCTAAGGCCTCCCTTCTCCCCCACCCCCCCTACCCCCTCCCTTCTTACCCCAACCCCCCTAAGCCATCCCACCTCCCCAAACCCAATAAGCCCTCCTTTCTCAAAAGCCCTCCCTCCTCTCCAGCCCCCACAATCCCTCCTTACTCCCCCTTCCCCAAGCCCTCCTTTCTCCTCCTCCCCCCAACCCCTCCTTTCTCCCGCTCCTCCCCAAGCCCTCCCACCTCCCCCTACCCATGCAGAGCCCCCTCTTTCTCCAATCCCCCAAGCCTTCCATTCTCCCCCCCCCCCCCAAGCCCTCCCTTCGCCCCTACTCTCTAAAAACCAGATGTAAGGAGGCAACAGACAAGTTTGTCCCGGTCCAAACGGAAAAAAATTAAATGCAAATGAGAAACCCATACTTTCGTCAGATGTAAGCTAGCTAAGCAACTATTAAAAGAGAATATAGTGGAGAAACTATATAAATAACAGGACACTTGAGAGCAGAGAAGGATACAATAGAGCCAGGAATGAATATGTCAAGGTGAGAAGAGACGCAGAAGGGCAATATAAAAACGACATAGCAAGCAAGGTAAAGATGCAACCTGAATTGCTGCACAGCCACATCAGGAGAAAGACAACAGTGAAGGAACAGGTAATGAAACTGAGGATAGGGGCAGACAGATTCACTACAAACGACAAAGAAGTGTGCGAGGAACTTAATAAGAAATTCCAGGAAGGCTTCACAATAGAGCAAGAAGAAGTTCTGGAGATAAGAGAAGGAATAGTCAACCAGGCGAGTCACTGTGCGGGGTGAAGTATCAGACTGGCGAGACATCACCAGTTGAGTCCCGCAGGATTCAGTCCTTGGACCTATACTTTTTCTGATATATGTAAATGATCTACCAGAGGGCATACAATCATTCCTCTCATTGTTTGCTGATGATGCAAAAATTATGATAAAGATTAAGACGGAGGAAGATAGCATAAGGCTACAAGATGACCTAGACAAACTCAATGAATGGTTCAACAAATGGCTACTAAAGTTCAAACCGAGTAAATGTAAGGTAATGAAACTAGGTAGTGGAAACAGGAGGCCAGACACAGGATATCGAATGGGAGATGAAATCCTTCATGAAACGGACAAAGAGAAAGATCTAGGAGTTGATATCACACCAAACCTGTCTCCTGAAGCCCACATCAAAAGAATAACATCAGCAGCCTATGCGAGGTTGGCTAACATCAGAACTGCCTTCAGGAACCTGTGTAAGGAATCATTTAGAACCTTGTATACCACATATGTGAGCCCAATCCTGGTCTTACCTTGTCATGCACATAGCAATGCTTGAAAAAGTTTAGAGGTATACCACTAGGCATATACCACTATACCACCCAGAACTAAGAGGCATAAGTTACGAGGACAGGCTGCGAGAAATGCACCTCACGACACTGGAAGACAAGAGTAAGAGGAGACATGATCACTATCTACAAAATTCTGAGAGGAATTGACAGGGAAGAAAAAATAAAATGTTTAACACGGGTGATACGCGAACAAGGGGACACAGGTGGATGTCCCTCGTGACCCTTTAGAATTTAGTTCGATCGGAGAGGATAAGGTTCATTTTTGCCAGATATTCGTCATTTTTTAAGAATATCGTATATTGGCGACTTGTCACCTCTCCTCCTTATTCTCAAGAAGGGTCTTAGCTACCGCCTTGAGCTCGGGGGACAGTATGGTGCTTCTGTAGTTACCTCGAATCTTTCCTCCCTCTGCGATAAGTTTCCCCTTGCAAAGTGTCTTTAGTGGTAACCTAGCCATAGGTCCTCTGAATAATGTTGTTAGTTTCTTGATGATCCTGGTTTCGGTGCTGTTGCGATGTCGATCTGCAAGATCGTCGAAGTTTTGGTCGATTCGGGTACGGAGGACTTCGACAATGTTGGTGTGTCTCCATTAGTCTGTAAAATGAAGTAGTTGCGCTTTGCTATCGTTGATCGTATTTTCTGCCTTGTATATCTGATTTTGAATCAGATCTTGGCGATATTTTATCGTGAAAGCTTGGTTTCCTGCTGCTGGGTCGTGCGTTCTAATATTAGTAAATTTTGGTAGCAGTCTTTCTTGTTAACATATGTTGTTGAATATGACCGAAAGGGTAACCCAGCATACATTTTCTCGGTTTCAAAACGTGATAAAAACCACATTTGATTATTTGAACTACGTTTTAAATTTCGTGTTATACACGTGTTTTGAGAATTTGTAAATACGATTATAAAACGTGAGCTCATAACGTTTTAATAACACGCTTTTTTATGTTTTTAACACGTTTATTCGAATTATTAATTATTTTATTTATTAGGAATAATTATCGTTATTGAATTTAAAAGAGAGATAGACATACAAGGAGAGACAGAAAGAGAGAAAACAGATTCAGAGAGAGACACACACAGAGAAGCAGACAGAGGGAAAAGGAAGAGAGTTGCCAAGGGAGACAGACAGAAAGAAAGAGAGGAAAAAACAAAGGGAGAGAGACAATCAGAAAGAAAGAAATGAAGAGAAATAAAGGGAGAGACTGAATAAGAAAGAAAGAGAGAGAGAACGGAGAGAAGATAGAAGAGAGGGAAGAGAGAGAGAAGAGAGGGAGAAGAGAGGGAGAAGAGAGGGAGAAGGGTCGACCGCTGGATGTAATGTACTTGTCTGAGGACAGGTTGCGTTGAAACAATTTTTCATTCATGAACAGGGAGGTTGGCTGTTAGATTAACGAGCATTTGGCCTTTGTTGATGTGGCTGGGCTGCGATAAAAGACAATATCAAGGATTCTGCATTGTTCAACTAAAGCTTCATTTTAAAAATATTTATAAATACATAAAGTAAAAATTTCGAACAATATATCACTGTTCTAATTTGAAAGCATAGGAATAACAATTATCAGACCTCATTGAAAAAAATTATTATCTACAGTTGTTTACCACATTTGATTGGAAAATTATATATGTGGCAATAGATTAGACGATGTCGAGAGATGAATTTTAATTAAGTAATATTCACATGAAGTTAATGTGGGAATTTTCGGAAAAATTAAAATTATTCTTCGTGGTCCAAGATAAGCGGAACAACGTCCAGTCACCTACATTGTTTACTTCTGCTTCCTCTTCGCTATATTGTACGAGTCGTCTTAAACTTCCGTTTATTCTGGTAGGGAAGACTTGTTGACCTCTGTAGCCAGAGGTGTAGAAGCAAGGGATATACACAGAAAGGTGTACCCAGCTTCCCAGTGTATATACAGTGAGAGTTTACTTTATTCCTGGACTGTGTTCAGGATTATAGTATACTTGCTGGCTGGTCAGCTGTTGTGGTTAATGACCTTGTAGAGGTGGATAGGAAGAAGTCACCTGGCCACAGGGGGTGTGGGGGGGGGGTCCCTCCCCCTGTTGTCACCATGTTGAAATTCACACTGTGATAAGCCTCCGGGTATAAGTGTTGGTTCCATGGCAGCAGCTGCCGCAGTGGACCCCCTGCACCCACAGCACACCTGCAACCATAGCACACCTGCACCAACAGCACACCTGCACCTACATCACACCTGATTACCTATCTCAGATCAGGTGCCGGAGGAAGCACAGTAGAGTTCGGTAGCGCAGCTGTCCAGCGTCAGGTGTCCAGCGTCAGGTGTCCAGGTCGTCCAACATGATCAAGCGCAGTCTTCTCATCATTGTCCTGGCGGTGAGGAACAGTATGGGCCCCAGGACAACCCCAGGGGCATTGTTGGGGACAATAGTGATCCATAGATTGACTATCAATAGTTTGGCTTTATAGACAGACGATAATATCTGCCTAATCTATTCACATTATTATAAAATAATTTTTAAGCAGTATACAGGAAGTATGGAAAGGGGCAGTGAACTCGAGAGTACAATACCAGGAAATTAAATAAAAAATAAAGCAGGAGGTGGGATTGGTCTAGCAGCGAGGATGAGGAGTTGTAGAGTGGTTGTAGCACACTACACTGAGGTGGTATGTACTACACTACACTGATGGTATGTACTACACTACACTGATGGTATGTACTACACTACACTGATGGTATGTACTACACTACACTGATGGTATGTACTACACTACACTGATGGTATGTACTACACTGCACTGATGGTATGTACTACACTACACTGAGGTGGTATGTACTACACTACACTGATGGTATGTACTACACTACACTGATGGTATGTACTACACTACACTGATGGTATGTACTACACTACACTGAGGTGGTATGTACTACACTACACTGATGGTTTGTACTACACTACACTGAGGTAGTGTGTACTACACTACACTGATGGTATGTACTACACTACACTGAGGTGGTGTGTACTACACTACACTGATGGTATGTACTACACTACACTGAGGTGGTGTGTACTACACTACACTGATGGTATGTACTACACTACACTGATGGTATGTACTACACTACACTGAGGTGGTATGGGCATGTTAGTGGGAGGTCTGAGACCCGTTTAACATGGGTGTAGATGGGAGTAATAAATTACATGTATATGATAGAGACAGACGACTAGTGCCTTGTAACAGAGAGGAGGGACCATTATGTGAACGAAAGGGTGGTGGAGGGGTGAGAGTGATGGAAAGGTGTGTGGTGATAGAGCCTCTTAGAGTGAAGGTGTGTGGTGATAGAGCCTCTTAGAGTGAAGGTGTGTGGTGATAGAGCCTCTTAGAGTGAAGGTGTGTGGTGATAGAGCCTCTTAGAGTGAAGGTGTGTGATGATAAAGTCTCCTAGAGTGGACGTGTGTGTGGCGATAAAGTCTCCTAGAGTGAAGGTGTGTGTGGTGATAGAGCCTCTTAGAGTGAAGGTGTGTGGTGATAAAGTCTCTTAGAGTGAAGGTGTGTGTGGTGATAGAGCCTCTTAGAGTGAAGGTGTGTGGTGATAAAGTCTCTTAGAGTGAAGGTGTGTGTGGTGATAGAGCCTCTAGAGTGAAGGTGTGTGGTGATAAAGTCTCTTAGAGTGAAGGTGTGTGGTGATAGAGCCTCTTAGAGTGAAGGTGTGTGGTGATAAAGTCTCCTACAGTGAAGGTGTGTGTGGTGATAGAGCCTCTTAGAGTGAACGTGGGGGTGGTGATAGAGCCTCCTAGAGTGAAGGTGTGTGGTGATATAACCTTCTAGAGTGAAGGTGTGTGGTGATAGAGCCTCCTAGAGTGAAGGTGTGTGTGGTGATAGAGCCTCCTAGAGTGAAGGTGTGTGTGTGGTGATAGAGCCTCTTAGAGTGAAGGTGTGTGGTGATAGTGCCTCCTAGAGTGAAGGTGTGTGGTGATAGAGCCTCCTAGAGTGAAGGTGTGTGGTGATAGTGCCTCCTAGAGTGAAGGTGTGTGGTGATAGTGCCTCCTAGAGTGAAGGTGTGTGGTGATAGTGCCTCCTTGAGTGAAGGTGAGTGGTGATAGTGTCTCCTAGAGTGAAGGTGTGTGGTGATAGTGCCTCCTAGAGTGAAGGTGTGTGGTGATAGTGCCTCCTTGAGTGAAGGTGAGTGGTGATAGTGTCTCCTTGAGTGAAGGTGTGTGGTGATAGTGTCTCCTAGAGTGAAGGTGTGTGGTGATAGTGCCTCCTAGAGTGAAGGTGTGTGTTGATAGTGCCTCCTAGAGTGAAGGTGTGTGTTGATTGTGCATCCTAGAGTGAAGGTGTGTGTGGTGATAGTGTCTCCTAGAGTGAAGGTGTGTGTTGATGTGCATCCTAGAGTGAAGGTGTGTGTTGATAGTGCCTCCTAGAGTGAAGGTGTGTGTTGATTGTGCATCCTAGAGTGAAGGTGTGTGTTGATTGTGCATCCTAGAGTGAAGGTGTGTGTGGTGATAGTGTCTCCTAGAGTGAAGGTGTGTGGTGATAGTGCCTCCTAGAGTGAAGGTGTGTGTGGTGATAGGACCTCCTAGAGTGAAGGTGTGTGGTGATAGTGCCTCCTAGAGTGAAGGTGTGTGTGGTGATAGGACCTCCTAGAGTGAAGGTGTGTGGTGATAGTGTCTCCTAGAGTGAAGGTGTGTGTTGATTGTGCATCCTAGAGTGAAGGTGTGTTGATAGTGCCTCCTAGAGTGAAGGTTTGTGTTGATTGTGCATCCTAGAGTGAAGGTGTGTGTGGTGATAGTGCCTCCTAGAGTGAAGGTGTGTGATGATAGTGCCTCCTAGAGTGAAAGTGTGGGGTGATAGGACCTCCTAGAGTGAAGGTGTGTGGTGATAGTGCCTCCTAGAGTGAAGGTGTGTGTGGTGATAGGACCTCCTAGAGTGAAGGTGTGTGGTGATAGTGCCTCCTAGAGTGAAGGTGTGTGTGGTGATAGGACCTCCTAGAGTGAAAGTGTGTGGTGATAGTGCCTCCTAGAGTGAAGGTGTGTGGGGTGATAGGACCTCCTAGAGTGAAGGTGTGGGGTGATAGTGCCTCCTAGAGTGAAAGTGTGGGGTGATAGGACCTCCTAGAGTGAAGGTGTGTAGTGATAGTGCCTCCTAGAGTGAAAGTGTGTGGTGATAGGACATCCTAGAGTGAAGGTGTGTGGTGATAGAGCCTCCTAGAGTGAAGGTGTGTGGTGACAGAACCTCCTAGAGTGAAGGTGTGTGGTGATAGTGCCTCCTAGAGTGAAGGTGTGTGGTGATAGAGCCTCCTAGAGTGAAGGTGTGTGTATTGATAGAACCTCATAGAGTGAAGGTGTGTGGTGATAGTGCCTCCTAGAGTGAAGGTGAGTGGTGATAGTGCCTCCTCGAGTGAAGGTGTGTGTTGATTGTGCCTCCTAGAGTGAAGGTGTGTGTTGATTGTGCATCCTAGAGTGAAGGTGTGTGTTGATAGTGCCTCCTAGAGTGAAGGTGTGTGGTGATAGTGCCTCCTAGAGTGAAGGTGAGTGGTGATAGTGCCTCCTAGAGTGAAGGTGAGTGGTGATAGTGCCTCCTAGAGTGAAGGTGTGTGTTAATAGTGCCTCCTAGAGTGAAGGTGTGTGGTGATAATGCCTCCTAGAGTGAAGGTGTGTGGTGATAGGACCTCCTAGAGTGAAGGTGAGTGGTGATAGTGCTCCTAGAGTGAAGGTGTGTGGTGATAGTGCCTCCTAGAGTGAAGGTGTGTGGTGATAGTGAATCCTAGAGTGAAGGTGTGTGGTGATAGTGCCTCCTAGAGCGAAGGTGTGTGTGTGATAGCGCCTCCTAGAGTGAAGGTGTGTGGTTATAGTGCCTCCTAGAGTGAAGGTGTGTGTGTTGATAGGGCCTCCTAGAGTGAAAGTGTGTGTGTGGTGATAGAGCCTCCTAGATTGAAGGTGTGTGGTGATAGAACCTCCTAGAGTGAAGGTGTGTGGTGACAGAGCTTCTAGAGTGAAGGTGTGTGTGGTGATAGAGCCTCCTAGAGGAAGGTGTGTGGTGACAGAGCCTCCTAGAGTGAAGGTGTGTGGTGATAGAGCCTCCTAGAGCGAAGGTGTGTGGTGATAGAGCCTCCTAGAGTGAAGGTGTGTGGTGATAGAGCCTCCTAGAGTGAAGGTGTGTGTGGTGATAGAGCCTCCTAGAGTGAAGGTGTGTGGTGATAGAGCCTCCTAGAGTGAAGGTGTGTGTGTTGATAGAGCCTCCTAGAGTGAAGGTGTGTGGTGATAGTGCCTCCTAGAGTGAAGGTGTGTGGTGATAGTGCCTCCTAGAGTGAAGGTGTGTGGTGAAAGTGCCTCCTAGAGTGAAGGTGTGTGTTGATTGTGCCTCCTAGAGTGAAGGTGTGTGTTGATTGTGCATCCTAGAGTGAAGGTGTGTGGTGATAATGCCTCTTAGAGTGAAGGTGTGTGGTGATAGGGCCTCCAAGAGTGAAGGTGTGTGTGGTGATAGAGCCTCCTAGAGTGAAGGTGTGTGGTGATAGAGCCTCCTAGAGTGAAGGTGTGTGGTGATAGTGCCTCCTAGAGTGAAGGTGTGTGGTGATAGTGCCTCCTAGAGTGAAGGTGTGTAGTGATAGGGCCTCCAAGAGTGAAGGTGTGTGTGGTGATAGAGCCTCCTAGAGTGAAGGTGTGTGGTAATAGAGCCTCCTAGAGTGAAGGTGTGTGGTGATAGAGCCTCCTAGCGTGAAGGTGTGTGGTGATAGGGCCTCCAAGAGTGAAGGTGTGTGTGGTAATAGAGCCTCCTAGAGTGAAGGTGTGTGTGGTGATAGAGCCTCCTAGAGTGAAGGTGTGTGGTGATAGAGCCTCCTAGAGTGAAGGTGTGTGGTGATAGAGCCTCCTAGAGTGAAGGTGTGTGTGGTGATAGAGCCTCCTAGAGTGAAGGTGTGTGTGGTGATAGTGCCTCCTAGAGTGAAGGTGTGTGTGGTGATAGAGCCTCCTAGAGTGAAGGTGTGTGGTGATAGAGCCTCCTAGAGTGAAGGTGTGTGTGGTGATAGAGCCTCCTAGAGTGAAGGTGTGTGGTGATAGAGCCTCCTAGAGTGAAGGTGTGTGTGGTGATAGAGCCACATGTTACTAGTTGCTAGTTACTTTTTAATTCTTCTTCCCTTTCATTTTCACCCATCTAAGGGCACTCACAATAATAGTAGTAACCTGTATATGATAACTATATCAGGGGAAATATTGGCAATTTATTGGTTAAGATTTGATTAATATTTACCCTGTTATGGGTGGCTCGCTAGCGTTATAACCGGTATTCCTAAATTGATTATTATTGGCCAACAATAGTTAGATAGAACAGGAATCGGACAAGAACACTTCCCTTATTTGTAAACGAAGATCGTGTTGATGATGGGAGCTCTTTTACATCCCATAACACTACGTCGAAGGGTGATAATTGTGGAGCTTGTTGGAGCTCCGTGCGAGACTTGTTTGCGTTAAAAATTAATATGGTGTCTGCTTGCTCCTCTCCCACTCACGCATCCCTGTTCACAAGATGCGTTCTTTCAAGAAGTGGAAAGAGGGCCAACATTTAAATTATTTTAGTACTGATAATTAAGTTGGTTCAAGAGAAGTGTTTTAGTATGTTTACGGTCCAGAGACTGATATATTAAGAATGATTCCCAATATTATAGCTGGTAAATTTAATGGCGACATATGGCAATGATATCCCCATTTCCTTCCAAGAAAATTTCCACTGTAGCTTCGTTTTCTGTGAGTCAATTTGTTAGTACAATCCAGTAGCAATATTTTCTGTCTATTGTATTGAAAGTTAGTAAATGGTGTCGATTTTTTCCGGCAGTGACAGTCTCCTAGAGTGAGGTGTGTGTGGTGATAGAGCCTCCTAGAGTGAAGGTGTGTTGTTATAGCACCTCCTAATGTAAAGTTGTGTGTTGTGATAGAGCCTCTCAGAGTAAACGTGGGTGTGGTGGTAGAGCCTCCTAGAGTGAAGGTGTTTGTGAAGATGGAGCCTCCGAGAGAGAAGGTGTGTGTATAGAGCCTTCGAAAGAGAAGGTGTGTGTATAGAGCCTCTTAGAGTGAAGGTGTGTGTGGTTATAGAGCCTCCTAGAGCCAACTCTGCTGTGATCACCCCCATGATGGGGAGCTCCCAGGAGGAAGTATAAGTTGTCCGGACTACAGAGCAACCCATCCTCTTGAATAGTACCTTCCATTTTTGACGTTTAAATCCCCTATAAACAAAAACTGGTGTACTAAAAATCTCAGCGGCTCGCAAAACTATGGGACGTCCCGCCTCCTATTCGTGGGTCCTCGGTAAGGTTAGGTTCGGGCAATTTAGTACGCCATTTCATTACGTTGTGAACGCTGGAATATTATAATGAAACTTTTACAACATAAAATGATTATTCCGCCTCACGCAGGTCGTGTCCGCCGCCTTGATGGTCCAGAAGGACGCCTGTGATCCTGACTGTACTGGGAAAACTGTTGGAGATCTAGTCCCTGACCCCATGAACTGCACCACCTATTACATCTGTCTGGGGGACGGTATACCTACAGACCACTCTGTGCCCTGCCCGGACGGTCAATATTTTAACCCAGGTAAACCAGGATGTGACGACATGCCTCCGGACGGTTGTCAAGCCGCCTGTCAGCCTCCAGACTGCTCCATCACCTGCAAAGGCTCCTTCACCTTCATCCGTGATCCATTCGACTGTGGAACATACTATATTTGTATTGCTGGTCAACCAGCACAGACACTTCACTGTAACACAGGCACCTTCTTCAACGGTGAGACCTGCGTCAGTGACAAGGAAGTTTGCTGCACAGTCTCGTGTGATCCGTACTGTCACCCTGGGATCGTGCAGACCCCAGACCCCACAGACTGCACCAAGTACTACATATGCACTCAGACAGGACCAGTGAACCCAAGCTTCCACTATACTTGTGATAGCGAACAATACTTTGACTATAAAATTGGTCGATGTGCCTCAGGTACTTCCTGTAAAAACCTCTGCTCTGAAGGATTGTCTACAACACCACCAAACTCAGCAGAAGCAACCAGAACTCCACAAACCACTCCACCAAGCACCGACTGAGTAGATTTGCGTACCTGCGGGGCTTTAGGCAACTTCCCAATGTGCGGCTCAAGTCAGCAGGAATTTTTCTAGTGTACGGCCGCGGGTGCTCAAGGTGTCTCCAACAAGTGCTCGGGAAACTTAGTGTTCAACACCGACCCTGACTACCCTTACTGTGTTCTTCCCACCAACTATCCTTATAACCCCTAACCCATGCCTATCTTCTTCTGGCCAGCTCCCCATAACTGTTCCTTGCCTCTATGACCATCAACATCCTGGCCTGCTCCTACAACCATCACTGTGGCATTGTTTTGACTTGCTTCCCATCCTCTTTCCTACCAGCACTATCCCCCTTATATTCTCTATAATATACAACCACTACCGCCGTCCTTACAGCCAGCCCACCATAATACAGACACGGGTGTGAGGTTGGACTTAGCACCTATAAACCAATGAAGTGTTATTAAGGCAACAACAGCTTGCTGACCAACTTGCAAGACTACATTAGTCCTGAATATAGTCCAGGACCTAAATTATTGATTGATGTAGATTAAGCCACCTAAGAGGTGGCACGAACATGAATAACCCGTAAGTGGTAGATTTGTTTGGAGTGAATGTAATCTTTGGTCATGAACGGACCTAAATAAACTCTCAAGTGTATATATAAACTCAGAAGCAGGTTACACCTCTCTGTATTTTGACACTTACTATACTGATATTCATTAAAATTAATATCTGTCAGTGACATGCGGGTCGGAACAAGTCCGTGTAAGAAAGATCTACGAAGCATGTATTAAATATATATGCATAACTTATTGTTAAAACTTAGCCACATTAGGTAAGAATATATTTTGCAGAGAGTATAACGGCGAGTTCATCCTGTGATATAACCATCTTTTGCTTGCTAACTGATAACACCATGTCTTATCATTTTCGCCTGACATTTACCTTATATTACCTTCAAGAAAGATGTTCTAACATAACTTAAAGTTTGTGTCTTGTAAGGTTGCTTTTAGTAGAAGTTTTGAAGAATGTTTAACAAAACTATACAAATGAGTTTATTCACTATAAAGTCCAATAAATCACTTGTGCTTTTCATTGTCTTTTTCATATAAGTAATGAGCTGTAATTAAGTTATATATTATGTGGAACCAAAAGTAAATATTTTCTATTTTGTCTTTTTTTAGTTTGTCTAATAATAATAAATGTTCACTTGTGTGAATGTGTGAGAGAACATTCATTTATGTTCATGTGTATATATATATATAAATATATATATATATATATATATATATATATATATATATATATATATATATATATATATATATATATATATATATATATATATATATATATATATATATATATTATTAAATATGACCGAAAAAGTAAGATTAATAATTCTAACACGAATTTTCTCAATCTTTCGTACATTTCTTTTCACTGTTGGAGGTAATTCAAAAATCAATTCTCCAAAATTCATTTTTATTTCTAGTCTGACGCGACACGAGCGCGTTTCGTAAAACTTATTACATTTTCAAAGACTTTAGTTTACAAATACACAACTGAATAGAACTTACACATCTCCGATTTTGTTTATATCTACATTTGAGTGAGGTGGATGGGGTGAGGTGGCATTAATAGGGTATTAATTTCATCAACACAAGACAGAACAAGAGGTGGTATTAATAGGGTATTAATTTCATCAACACAAGACAGAACACGAAACAATGGGTATTGAAATGGAAGTGATTGTAGAAAGCCTATTGGTCCATATTTCTTGATGCTTCTATATTGGAGCGGAGTCTTGAGGTGGGTAGAATATAGTTGTGCATTAATTGGCTGTTGATTGCTGGTGTTGACTTCTTAATGTGTAGTGCCTCGCAAACGTCAAGCCGCCTGCTATCGCTGTATCTATCGATGATTTCTGTGTTGTTTACTAGGATTTCTCTGGCGATGGTTTGGTTGTGGGAAGAGATTATATGTTCCTTAATGGAGCCCTGTTGTTTATGCATCGTTAAACGCCTAGAAAGAGATGTTGTTGTCTTGCCTATATACTGGGTTTTTTGGAGCTTACAGTCCCCAAGTGGGCATTTGAAGGCATAGACGACGCTGGTCTCTTTTAAAGCGTTCTGCTTTGTGTCTGGAGAGTTTCTCATGAGTAGGCTGGCCGTTTTTCTGGTTTTATAGTAAATCGTAAATCGTTTTTATCCTATAAAACCAGAAAAACGGCCAGCCTACTCATGAGATCATGAGATTTTATAGTAAATCGTAAATCGTTTTTATAGTAAAACGATTTACTATAAAACCAGAAAAACGGCCAGCCTACTCATGAGAAACTCTCCAGACACAAAGCAGAACGCTTTAAAAGAGACCAACGTCGTCTATGCCTTCAAATGCCCACTTGGGGACTGTAAGCTCCAAAAAACCCAGTATATAGGCAAGACAACAGCATCTCTTTCTAGGCGTTTAACGATGCATAAACAACAGGGCTCCATTAAGGAACATATAATCTCTTCCCACAACCAAACCATCGCCAGAGAAATCCTAGTAAACAACACAGAAATCATCGATAGATACAGCGATAGCAGGCGGCTTGACGTTTGCGAGGCACTACACATTAAGAAGTCAACACCAGCAATCAACAGCCAATTAATGCACAACTATATTCTACCCACCTCAAGACTCCGCTCCAATATAGAAGCATCAAGAAATATGGACCAATAGGCTTTCTACAATCACTTCCATTTCAATACCCATTGTTTCGTGTTCTGTCTTGTGTTGATGAAATTAATACCCTATTAATGCCACCTCTTGTTCTGTCTTGTGTTGATGAAATTAATACCCTATTAATGCCACCTCACCCCATCCACCTCACTCAAATGTAGATATAAACAAAATCGGAGATGTGTAAGTTCTATTCAGTTGTGTATTTGTAAACTAAAGTCTTTGAAAATGTAATAAGTTTTACGAAACGCGCTCGTGTCGCGTCAGACTAGAAATAAAAATGAATTTTGGAGAATTGATTTTTGAATTACCTCCAACAGTGAAAAGAAATGTACGAAAGATTGAGAAAATTCGTGTTAGAATTATTAATCTTACTTTTTCGGTCATATTTAATAATATATGTCTACAGGAAAGACTGCTACCAAAATATACTAATATATATATATATATATATATATATATATATATATATATATATATATATATATATATATATATATATATATATATATATATATATATATATATATATATATATATGAAAAAATTAGAGAAAATATATTAATTCAGAAAAACTTGGCTTATTAGGCAAATCGGGCCTTGCATAGTAGGCTGAGAAGTGCGTTCTGGCTACTAGGTACGACATATATATATATATATATATATATATATATATATATATATATATATATATATATATATATATATATATATATATATATATATATATATATATATATATATATATATGTTGTACCTAGTAGTCAGAACGTCGTACAGGGCCTACTATGCAAGGCCCGATTTGCCTAATAAGCCAAGTTTTCCTGAATTTATATATTTTTCCCAAATTTTTTCTTATGAAACGATAAATCTGTCCATTTCAATATATATAACGATAACGTTTCTATTGACAATATCTTTCAGGACCCTTTCCTCCGTTTTATGGGCTGTGGAAAAGAAGTTCCTGTAAAATTAGCAGGAAATAAAAATAAAATCTACCCTATTAGACTATTTTACAGGAACTTCTTTTCCACAGCCCATAAAACGGAGGAAAGGGTCCTGAAAGATATTGTCAGTAGAAACGTTATCCCTACAGACAAAAATCAGAAGATACAACTGACAATTTACTATAAAACCAAAAAAACGGCCAGCCTACTCATGAGAAACTCTCCAGACACAAAGCAGAACGTTTTAAAAGAAACCAACGTCGTCTATGCCTTCAAATGCCCTCTTGGGGATTGTAAGCCTCAAAAAACTCAGTATATAGGCAAGACAACAACATCTCTTTCCAGGCGTTTAACGATGCATAAGCAACAGGGCTCCATTAAGTAACATATAGCCTCTTTCCACAACCAAACCATCACCAGAGAAATCTTAGCAAACAACACAGAAATCATCGATACATACAGCGATAGCAGGCGGCTCGACGTCTGCGAGGCACTACACATCAAGAAGTCAACACCAGCAATCAACAGCCAATTAATGCACAACTATATTCTACCCACTTCAAGACTCCGCTCCAATATAGAAGCATCAAGATATATGGGCCAATAAAAATAGGCCTTCTGCAGTTACCTACTTTTAATACCTGTTTGTATTTCATTGTTTCGTGTTCTGTCTTGTGTTAAAAGTTTATTTTCACCTCATCCAAAACTATTGTACCATGTCACTTCACCCAAACGTAGGTATAAAAACTCGAAAGATGTTTAAGCTCTATTCAGTTAAAGTTGTGTGTGTTTGTGTAAACTAAAGTCTTTGAAAATGTAATAAGTTTTACGAAACGCGCTCAAGTGTCGAGTCAGACTAGAAATAAAAATTAATTTTGGAGAATTGATCTTTGAATTACCATCAACAATGAAAAGAAACGTAAGAAAGATTGAGAAAATTCGTGTTAGAATTATTAATCTTACTTTTTCGGTCATATTTAATAATATATGTCTACAGGAAAGACTGCTACCAAAATATACTATATATATATATATATATATATATATATATATATATATATATATATATATATATATATATATATATATATATATATATATATATATATATATGTCGTACCTAGTAGCCAGAACGCATTTCTCAGCCTACTATGCAAGGCCCGATTTGCCTAATAAGCCAAGTTTTCCTGAATTAATATATTTTCTCAATTTTTTTTCTTATGAAATGATAAAGTTACCCATTTAATTATGTATGAGGTAAATTTTTTTTATTGGAGTTAAAATAAACATAGATATATGACAGATATATGACAGAACCTTGTAGGGAGTTGGTAGAGTGTTTGGTTGTCATTAGCGTGCAAGACGCAGTGAAAGGTGAGTGATTGTTTGCCATTTTTGTGCCAAGGAGTACTTGTACTGGAGTATAAGGTTACAGTCGTGGGCTGGATTACCTGCAGAGACATACATGTGTGTTCTAGGACTGATAGGGTGATCGATTGATCATTGTTGTATATCAAGGAACATTTATACTAATATATATGTTATTGCATTCATACGCTGGTTTTCCTTGCACATGTTTATAGATATATATTCTCTTGCTGATAGTGCAACATTGTGTTATAAGACTTGACCTACTTGAGGAGGTTGGTAGTATTAGTGGGTGAATCAGAAGATAGGATACCACTTGACAAGCAGATGATAGAGTTCTGATAGTTTTGGAATGCAACCTGACTGAAATAGTATAGAGTGTAGGATTCATTATTATTATTATTATTATTATATGTGTGTATGTATTGTGTATGTGCTTTGTCCAGTAAATGTATTCAAATTTGCTGGTGTTTGCCCTTGTCCTAGTGAGGCTTCTCAGGAAGTAGGAAAGAAGGAGAGAGAGTGAAAGAACCAAGAGCCACAGCTGCGGACAGGGTAGAACGGAAAACTAATAAGTCAAAGGGGATTGAGGAGATCACATCACATAAGGAGACAGTAGGGAGTCACAGCGGCTCGAGTGGGTGTGTGCACGTGACAACGAGGCTAAGTATTGGAGCCGCATCCCCTAAACGTGTGACGTTGAGCCCCTCTCCAAGAGCCAGAAGCGCCAAGGGTGATCTCCTGGTAAAGTATAAGCACTCTACCGAGTTTTTGGTTGGGTTGTCCATAAAGAAGGATCAACGACGACACCAATCCATCATAATAATAAATTGGGTCAGGTTGCACTCCAGCAGGCAGACTCGGCAACTTTCCTTCCTGGGGCTTAAAACTAGCTGGTCTGTTTATCTGCCCCCAAAACTTCTTCCTCCCCAAACTCCACCGGGTCTGCTATTGCTGCGTCTCGCCTCACTTCTCACTCTGTTCTCCCTCAATGTGGGGACACATTCGTGAATGAAAGTGTTACTTCGCGTCTTTATGTCGGTGATTGTTCCTCTTGTGCCCTCTCAGGTTCGTGGGGTGGGCGGCCAAGCCCCTGAGTTGGACTGTATTAGAAGACCGGGCTCTGTACCCTCCGCTGCATTGGCCCCGACCTTGCTCCTCCTTTGACCCTCCTGACTACTCCCCTCGGCTCCCCTCCCTCCTCTGTGGTTGGGTCGAGCCCCAAGCCCCCAGTGGTGACCACCTCGTCACCTGGCATGGCTCAATCTCTCGTTGTGACTACTAAGCCTTTTAACCCCTCTCTCAATGCCGTCCGCACCACGGCCGCACTCCCTCGATTCCTTCCCTTACTGATGCCTATCAAGCCTTGTTTTGTCCCGCTTCGTGGGCCAAATACTTTGATCTCCTCCCTCTTGATTCTACACCTGATGATTTCTTCCTCCATAGGCATCTTGTTGATTCCGTAGATGCCTCTGTTACTTTCAACCCCCACCCGTCTCGGTACACGTGTCGTTGCTGCTCCTTCTCAGGATGCAGCCTCCTGCTTGGCTGCTTTATCCTACCTTGGCGAGACCCCTGTTCGGGTCTCCAAGAACGCTTGGTTGAATGCCAGTGTTGGCACTATTCTCCTCCCACCCCATGTTGCGACCGGTGTTCGGAAACTACAGGACTGCCATGATGATATTTGGCATATCCTCGAAGCTCAGGGCTATTCTGTCCTCCAGGTAGACACGTTTACTCGTCCCCCTTGTGGTCGTCGCCGTCAGCCCCTTCGGGTTGTGAAGATTACCTTTGATGGTAGGACCGTTCTGCTCTCTGTCATTCATGCTGGTGCCAGGTTCTCTGTCCAAGAGCACATTCTCTCTCCTCGGCTCTATAATAGGTGCTGGAGGTTTGGACATGGCGTCCCCTGCTGCTCCAGTACTGTCTCTCCCTGTCCTGTGTGTGGGGACGAGGGTCATTCTAAGTCGGAGTGACTTCTCCCCAGGCTCGCTGCCTCAATTGTGGTGAGGCCCACCCTGCCTTCTACCGCGCGTGTGTGCATTACAAGTAATTATCAAAAAGAAGGCACCAAACCGGGAAAGCTATGTAGCACCATCAAATGTGCGGGATAATCAGAGGGCGCTAAATATCACCAAGGATGCCAATACGAGAACAGAAACGCATAAGGCGAATGATATCAAAAGTATCCGATTGACTAAGAATTCTACCAAGGGACAAGTGACCGCGAGGGGTGGTCGGAAAGCAAGACACACGCTCGTCCTGGAAATCAGGACATTCAACAAGGATATGTACGACGGTAAGAGGAACAATGCAATTTGGACAATAAGGAGCTGGGCGGCGCTCCATTAAGTGACCGTGAGTTAAGCGAGTATGACCAAGATGCAACCGCGCTAGAGCCATTTCCCACCGATGGTTACGGTGGCAGGAGGAATGGCATGGGGACACACAACGCTTAAGAGTATGCAGTTTGTTACCAACAACCCTGCCAATGGACAAGGATGGAGGAATGAATAACCGGATAAAAGTCGGAAAAAGGAATACCTTTACGGGAAATGGGACAAGAGCGGATAGCCTCTCTAGCGGCAGCATCCGCACGCTCATTTAAAGAAACACCAACATGGCTGGGAACCCAGCAAAACTCCACGGATTTAAATTTAGTAGAGATAAGAAACAGCTAATGTTGAGTCTCGACGACAACGGGATGGACAGGATTAAAGGACCCGAGAGCCATGAGGGCACTACGAAAGTCAACGACAATCACAAATTAGGATTGACAACGAGAAAGCAGGAGACGGAGAGCATAGAGAATAGCATAAAGCTCCGCTGTGATGCTAGTCTCTGTAGGTAAGCGACATATATAAGTGCAATCAGGAAAAACAACAGAGTAGCCAACACCTTCTGCAGACTTAGACCCATCGGTGAAGACGGAAACGGAGCGGGAGTGAGAAGAAAAGGGCTCAAGGAAAGGGCGTTTTAGAACTGTGGGAAGGGTAAAAGCTTTAGTTATGCAGGTCAGGGATGTACAAAACCGCGGAAGGGGGACTCTCCACGGGCGCAAAGAAGGAACAACACGAGGAGAAATATTAGAAATACGAACTGAAAGAGAATCCTGTAAGCGAGATGTCTTAGTCATAAGCCATTGTGAAATCTATTGTCATTTGTATTGTTACAGAGCATGTCATCAAGAGATCCATTAATGTTCTAGCACCCACACTGAGGCCAGTGATTCCTGACTGCTGTCACCAAGATGTTAACCTTCTCGGTCCAGTCCTTGTAAATATCTTGTAAATATAGTACATTAATTTTTTTCTTGTTATCTAATTATAAATTCATTGTGGTTGTTAGGTTATAACTCTTGTTGCATTAATTCAGATAATTATTTTGTATTATTTTCCAAGAACATGTCATTAACACAAGATGTTGATAATTTTGTTTTACACAATACTTTGAGTTGTATTGGTCATATCTGATACTTAAACATGGACATGTTCCTCATGCTCTTCTTCCAATTATTGCATTGTAACAATGTTTTTTTCACCGAGTAAGATTATGTTTTAATTTTAGTGTACACGCCAAGCAGTGTCAGTATTAACACACACCCGATCTGTCTTTTAATATGTAATCTGATATTTTACATGTAAGCTATTATTGTATGCCAATGAGATCCTTCAGAATCATTGTATTAGCTAGCCAGAGTTTTGTCAACAAGGCACGTCGATTTGGTAGCATGTCCGAGCGGTGTTAGCTTTCAAATTGTAAGACGGTTGGAGTATAGCCAATCCTGAGGCAGCTAGGCCTATGACGTCGTTTCCCACAGAGCCTGCAAGCCCGCTCTCAAGTGGCAGCGGCCAGTGTCTCACAGACCTTAGACAGGGTAGGACCTCGGTGATTCAGCACTATTGTTTACCTTACTCAATAAAGTCTATGTCTATGTATATATTAACACGTTGTACTGAATGGGGTGAGAATAGCTTGAGCTACCTCATCCCTTTGTGTGTATTTTACCTCAATAAACTTATTTCAATTTCAATTTCAATAAAGTCCTTTGAAGCGATCTACCGTGTCTCTGTCTTTAGTCTCAAGCAAGGTCCAACCAACAAGCACGAATACACATGGCACCACACGTCACGGCAACACATGGCACCACAAGTCACGGCAACACATGGCACCACAAGTCACGGCAACACATGGCACCACACGTCACGGCAACACATGGCACCACAAGTCACGGCAACACATGGCACCACAAGTCACGGCAACACATGGCACCACACGTCACGGCAACACATGGCACCACAAGTCACGGCAACACATGGCACCACAAGTCACGGCAACAAATGGCACCACACGTCACGGCAACACATGGCACCACAAGTTATGGCACCACATGGCAACACATGGCACCACAAGTTATGACAACACATGGCACCTCAAGTCATTGCAACACATGGCGCCACAAATCATAGCAACACATGGCGCCACAAATCATGGCAACACATGGCGCCACAAGTCATGGCAACACATGGCACAAGTCACGGTAACACATGGCACAATTCATGGCAACACATGGCACCACATGTCACGGCAACATATGGCACCACACGTCACGGCAACACATGGCACCACACGTCACGGCAACACATGGCACCACACGTCACGGCAACACATGGCACCACAAGTCACGGCAACACATGGCACCACAAGTCCCGGCAACATATGGCACCACACGTCACGGCAACACATGGCACCACAAATCACGGCAACACATGGCACCACACGTCACGGCAACACATGGCACCACACGTCACGGCAACACATGGCACCACAAATCACGGCAACACATGGCACAACACGTCACGGCAACACATGGCACCACAAGTAACGGCAACATATAGCACCACACGTCACGGCAACACATGACACCACACGTCACGGCAACATATGGCACCACAATTCACGGCACAAGTTACGGCAAAACATGGTATTATAAGTCACAGCAGCACCTGTCGCCACACGTTATGGCAACACAAGTCACAGCAACACATGGAACCACAAGTCATGGCACCACAAGTCATGGCGACACATGGCACTACAAGTCATGGCAACAATTCATAACACATGGCACCATAAGTCATGGCAACACATGGCACCACAAGTCATGGCAACACAAGTCATGGCAACACATGGCACCACAAGTCATAGAAACACATGGCGCCACATGTTATGGCAACACATGGCGCCACAAGTCATGGCACCACATGGCACCACAAGTTATGACAACACATGGCACCTCAAGTCATGGAAACACATGGCACCTCAAGTCATGGCAACACATGGCACCACAAGTCATAGAAACACATGGCGCCACATGTTATGGCAACACATGGCGCCACAAGTCATGGCACCACATGGCACCACAAGTTATGACAACACATGGCACCTCAAGTTATGACAACACATGGCACCTCAAGTCATTGCAACTTATGGCGCCACAAGTCGTAGCAACACATGGCACGACAAATCATGGCAACACATGGCGCCACAAGTCATGGCAACACATCTTGAGGTTATCTTGAGATGATTTCGGGGCTTTTTTTTTAGTGTCCCCGCGGCCCGGTCCTCGACCCGGCCTCCACCCCCAGGAAGCAGCCCGTGACAGCTGACTAACACCCAGGTACCTATTTTACTGCTAGGTAACAGGGGCATAGAGTGAAAGAAACTCTGCCCATTGTTTCTCGCCGGCGCCTGGGATCGAACCAAGGACCACAGGATCAAAAATCCCGCGTGCTGTCCGCTCGGCCGACCGGCACCCCCTACATGGCACAAGTCACGGTAACACATGGCACCACAAGTCATGGCAACACATGGCGCCACAAGTCATGGCAACACATGGCACCACAAATCACGGCAACACATTTCACCGCACGTCACGGCAACACATGGCACCACAAGTCACGGCAACACATGGCACCAGAAGTCACGGCAACATAAGGCCCCACACATCACGGCAACACATGGCACCACAAGTAACGGCAACACATGGCACCACACGTCACGGCAACACATGGCACCACACGTCACGGCCACACATGGCACCACAAATCACGGCAACACATGGCACCACAAATCACGGCAACACATGGCACCACACGTCACGGCAACACATGGCACCACAAATCACGGCAACACATGGCACCACAAGTAACGGCAACACATGGCACCACACGTCACGGCAACATATGGCACCACACGTCACGGCAACACATGGCACCGCACGTCACGGCAACATATGGCACCACAAATCACGGCAACACATGGCACCACACGTCACGGCAACACATGGCACCACAAATCACGGCAACACATGGCACCACACGTCACGGCAACACATGGCACCACACGTCACGGCAACACATGGCACCACAAGTCACGGCAACATATGGCACCACACGTCACGGCAACACATGGCACCACACGTCACGGCAACACATGGCACCACACGTCATGGCAACAAGTCACGGCAACACATGGCACCACAAGTCATGGCAAAACAAGTAACGGCAACATGTGGCACCACAAGTAACGGCAACATGTGGCACCACAAGTCACAGCAACATGTGGCACCACAAGTTATGGCAGCACATGGCACGCAAAGTAATGGCAAAACATGGCAACACGTGGCACCACAAGTTATGGCAACACAAGTCACGGCAACACATGGCACCACAAGTCATGGCAGCACATGGCACCACAAATCATGACAAAACATGACACTACAAGTCACAGCAACACATGGCACCACAAGTCATGGCAGCACATGGCACCACAAATCATGACAAAACATGGCACTACAAGTCACGGCAACACATGGCACCACACGTCACGGCAACACATGGCACCACAAGTCACGGCAACATATGGCACCACACGTCACGGCAACACATGGCACCACACGTCATGGCAACAAGTCACGGCAACACATGGCACCACAAGTCATGGCAAAACAAGTAACGGCAACATGTGGCACCACAAGTAACGGCAACATGTGGCACCACAAGTCACAGCAACATGTGGCACCACAAGTTATGGCAGCACATGGCACGCAAAGTAATGGCAAAACATGGCAACACGTGGCACCACAAGTTATGGCAACACAAGTCACGGCAACACATGGCACCACAAGTCATGGCAGCACATGGCACCACAAATCATGACAAAACATGGCACTACAAGTCACGGCAACACATGGCACCACAAGTCATGGCAGCACATGGCACCACAAATCATGACAAAACATGGCACTACAAGTCACGGCAACACATGGCACCACACGTCACGGCAACACATGGCACCACAAGTCACGGCAACATATGGCACCACACGTCACGGCAACACATGGCACCACACGTCATGGCAACAAGTCACGGCAACACATGGCACCACAAGTCATGGCAAAACAAGTAACGGCAACATGTGGCACCACAAGTAACGGCAACATGTGGCACCACAAGTCACAGCAACATGTGGCACCACAAGTTATGGCAGCACATGGCACGCAAAGTAATGGCAAAACATGGCAACACGTGGCACCACAAGTTATGGCAACACAAGTCACGGCAACACATGGCACCACAAGTCATGGCAGCACATGGCACCCCAAATCATGACAAAACATGGCACTACAAGTCACGGCAACACATGGCACCACAAGTCATGGCAGCACATGGCACCACAAATCATGACAAAACATGGCACTACAAGTCACGGCAACACATGGCACCACACGTCACGGCAACACATGGCACCACAAGTCACGGCAACATATGGCACCACACGTCACGGCAACACATGGCACCACACGTCATGGCAACAAGTCACGGCAACACATGGCACCACAAGTCATGGCAAAACAAGTAACGGCAACATGTGGCACCACAAGTTATGGCACTACAAGTCACGGCAACACATGGCACCACACGTCACGGCAACACATGGCACCACAAGTCACGGCAACACATGGCACCACAAGTCACGGCAACACATGGCACCACAAGTCACGGCAACACATGGCACCACACGTCACGGCAACACATGGCACCACAAGTCACGGCAACACATGACACCACACGTCACGGCAACACATGGCACCACAAGTCACGGCAACACATGGCACCACAAGTCACGGCAACACATGGCACCACAAGTCACGGCAACACATGGCACCACAAGTCACGGCAACACATGGCACCACAAGTCATGGCAAAACAAGTAACGGCAACATGTGGCACCACAAGTTATGGCACTACAAGTCACGGCAACACATGGCACCACACGTCACGGCAACACATGGCACCACAAGTCACGGCAACACATGGCACCACATGTCACGGCAACACATGGCACCACAAGTCACGGCAACACATGGCACCACACGTCACGGCAACACATGGCACCACAAGTCACGGCAACACATGACACCACACGTCACGGCAACACATGGCACCACAAGTCACGGCAACACATGGCACCACAAGTCACGGCAACACATGGCACCACAAGTCACGGCAACACATGGCACCACAAGTCACGGCAACACATGGCACCACAAGTCACGGCAACACATATCACCACACGTCACGGCAACACATAGCACCACACGTCACGGCAACACATGGCACCACAAGTCACGGCAACACATAGCACCACACGTCACGGCAACACATGGCACCACAAGTCACGGCAACACATAGCACCACACGTCACGGCAACACATAGCACCACACGTCACGGCAACACATAGCACCACACGTCACGGCAACACATAGCACCACAAGTCACGGCAGCACATAGCACCACACGTCACGGCAACACATAGCACCACACGTCACGGCAACACATAGCACCACACGTCACGGCAACACATAGCACCACACGTCACGGCAACACATGGCACCACAAGTCACGGCAACACATGGCACCACAAGTAACGGCAACACATGGCACCACACGTCACGGCAACATATGGCACCACACGTCACGGCAACACATGGCACCACACGTCACGGCAACATATGGCACCACAAATCACGGCAACACATGGCACCACACGTCACGGCAACACATGGCACCACAAGTCACGGCAACACATGGCACCACAAGTCACGGCAACACATGGCACCACAAGTCACGGCAACACATGGCACCACAAGTCACGGCAACACATGGCACCACAAGTTATGGCACTACAAGTCACGGCAGCACATAGCACCACACGTCACGGCAACACATAGCACCACAAGTCACGGCAACACATGGCACCACAAGTCACGGCAACACATAGCACCACACGTCACGGCAACACATGGCACCACAAGTCACGGCAACACATGGCACAGCAACAATATAATGATGGCTCAACAAATCATCTTGACCACTCGTCATGATTCAAACCTACTCCAACCATTAATTAATTCCATGCATGGAACCACTAACATATATCTAAAATATATCTGAGAGTCAATTACAATCATAAACTTTTGTAATAGAATCATTTACCAATAGAAACAAATTCTATTGTTTTGTTAAATATCATACATATTAATAATATTATACATATTAAAAATATCATACATATTAATAATATCATACATATTAAAAATATCATACATATTAAAAATATCATACATATTAAAAATATCATACATATTAAAAATATCAAACATATTAAAAATATCATACATATTAAAAATATCATACATATTAAAAATATCATACATATTAAAAATATCATACATATTAAAAATATCATACATATTAAAAATATCATACATATTAAAAATATCATACATATTAAAAATATCATACATATTAAAAATATCATACATATTAAAAATATCATACATATTAAAAATATTATACATATTTTTCTTCCATAGAATATTCGAAATCATTTAATTAAAATCGATTGAACGAAGATCAATACACAGCTTAAATATTCAGTACACATTACCGGCACATTACAGATGAAATTCCCAAAGTTTGTCAGTACATTTTCAATCGAATTCCCTCAAGAGATAATTTAGGTTGAATATTTGAGATATTTGTACATTAGTAATGTACAATTTACTTAAAGAAAACTATTAATAATTTAGTATAAATGGGATAATCAAAGAACAAAAGTTACTAAGATACAGTATACCACACACACTATATCCAGCAGTTTAATAGTTAAATTGAATACTGAAAGTATAGGTCATTTATTACAAACAACATTACACAATTTTATTAAGAGGCTTATTCGCAATCAACTCATTTTCATCCAAGGTAGTTCTGCACATTTAAGCCGGATTGGTTAGGTAAGAACAGGTTCGACAAAGTCCAATGACATCGAGGGCATTTTATTTAGGATTAGAACAATTGACACCATAACAATCAACCTGAAGTACTGGGATATAAAACATTTGGACCAGAATGTCCAAAATCAACATTTCCAAGACCAAAATGTATTATGTATTTCACGAGATAAATACAAACACTAGAATGACACAATTGCAACTCGTTCAGGTTCCCTCAATAACATTTTTCTGAGCTTAAATCGCAGATCCAGACGAATAGAAATAAATGGATGACAAAACTGTTCAAATGAGCTTTCACAACTAAGCAGAACCTCTGGAGGAAGTATCAGTTCTCAAAGAATAGAGGATTGCCTGAAAACACAAACCGTAACTGTCTCTATTTTCCGCTTGTTACAACTTGTAATAAAGTTGTTACATCTTGGCTTAACATGTTTATGACGTATTAGAACGTTGTTACAACTTGCTATATTGGTTGTTATAACTGGTTAGGAGGCCTTAAAACTTGTTCGAACGTTGCACCAACGTCGTAGTTTCGGTGTGTGTTTGGTGGGTTGCGAGCTACATAAACTGGCAATAAATTCAGCCACCTGGGAAATCAGATCAGTCAAAATAAACTACAAAATAAAACTTGCTCAAAACAAAGAAAAGATCTTGTCTTTTAATGTCTATATAATGAATAGATCAGGACAAATATTCTGCAGCACCCATAAACGATGAGTAAGTTATAACTGACCATAAATCACATTGATTGATTGATAAAGATTAAGCCACCCAAGAGGTGGCACGGGCATGAATAGCCCGTAAGTGGTACAATTTTTTTTGTTTTTCTCAGTATTCTGAGGTTACATTTAACCATCAAGCTGTTATCGCGGGGATAAATCACACTGAATGAATACTGTACACCAGTGTTCACACTTTCAAGAATACACAACATACCAATTCCCACAGAAACGTTTCCCTACTTCCTACGTTTGAAGTAGGGAAAAGAGAATGAGTTGAGGATATCCCCATTATGTGTAAAATAATGAGAGCATTGATAAAGTAAAGGAATCTTAAGCTGGATTGAATTCAATCCAAAATCATAAAAACTTATTATATTCAGAAAATCTCTAGACAAAGGGAAAAAATCCCCTAAATTTTATCTATGCAAAAATCACCCCTCATCTTCAGGAAGGGCAAAAACATCAGCAGAAAACCATAGACTAATCAGTTTACAGTTTACTCCCTTAGTTAACAGATTCCTAACGAATCTGTAAACTTAGGGAGATAATTCTAATGGAAAAAATCTTTCATCATTTCATGGTAAACAATTTAGTAAAATCAACAAAATATCATTCTGTAAAAGAAATAAAGCTTGGCTAACTTGTTCAAAACTTTTGAAACTATACCCAGCTACTCAAAGTACT